TGCGTGCAAGCAGGAATGAGCGCTAAGAATGCGCGGGAGCATGAAGAGGGGGCTAAGAATGCTTTGAGGAAGCTCGGCTCTGAGGCTACAAGGATGAGCAGGGCGCTGCAGCAAGCGGAGGAGGCTGTGAAATTGGCCGATGCTGCCGTGGCCGAATGCAAGGCGGCAGAGGAGGCTGCACAGGCGGCGGGGATAATGACGCTTGATGCCGTTGGGGAGGTGCTGAAGCATGTGAAGGACGAGAAGACCAAGGTTGGAAGTGGACCGGAGCTGTTGAAGAGGGCGGCGGAGCAGACTGTGCTTTCTCTGGAGAAGGCAAAGGAGGCGGAGGCGGAGTCTGAGAAGGCGGCAGCGGCGGCGCGGAAAACCCTGGAAGCAGCAGAGAAGGCAGCAGCGGCGCGGACCTTGGCACAAGACGTTGCCGCAACGGCCAGTGCGCTGCTGCGGCAGCGGGAGAGGGAGGAGGAGAGACGAAGAGCGAAGGACCGGGAGGCGGCGGAGGCCGCGAAAAAGGCTGCCATTGCTGAGGTGATGAAGAAATTTGCTGCGAAGAAGGGGAATGACGCGGCGTCTGGCAGGAATTCCACGGCCACCCGCATTCAAAGGACGAGACCGCGGGTGGATGGCGGCGGCATTCCATTGCTTTTGCGTGCACCGCTTCTGATGGTTGCTGCCGTGGCATCCGTTTTCGGCTTCTTATTGTGCTAGGCGGCATAACCGAGGCGATGACGTGCTGCCCAGCGCGGTGAGTCCATTTGTTTTAGGACCTTTTTTTTTTTACTTTTGTGGTTTTTTGTAAGAAAAAAAAAAAGAACATTTAAAAATAAACCAAAAAAAGCCGCTGCGTTTTACAACTGCGAGGGTTTTTTTGTGGTGAGAAATTTTAAAAATAATTTGCTGTGCGTGGTGTGGGGCGATTGTGAGTACCTTGTCTTCTCCGTCCGCGGCGAGAAACACTTGCCCACATGCTGTGGGGGATTCTTACACATGTGTACATACATGTATATACTTTTATATACCAACACACGTGAAACATCGAAATATTCCATAGTAGGAATTTTTTTAAAGAAGTATTTTGCGCGCTTCTGCTGCCCTTCTGTGTGCTCTGTGTTGTTCCGCACATTCATCACGCGGCACGCACCCCAGAAGTACGCGTATGGATGACACGCATACGACTGTTTTTGTAGAGGCATATTTGTGGGTGAGTGCATGCGCAGTGGAGTCTTTGGGTGCAGTTCTCTGTTTTTTTTTCTTTTTTTTTTTGCTGCCGGGCTATGTCTGTGTATTTTCTTTTTTCACCTATTCCATCAGCCTCATGGTGTGTGTGTGTGCTGCTGCTGTTTTTTTTGGAGTACTGGCCGTGTTTCTCCTTGCTCTCCCATGCCGTCAAAGGTTGGCTTTACAGTGTTAAGCAAGTTTATTTTTTGCGATGCTGGCGGTGATGGTGATGCGCCCTTTCTTGTGTGCCCTGCTGTTTTTTGCGCTCTGCTGCTGCTTTCCTAATTCCGCGTGTGCGGCGGATGATACAGCTGCTAATACCACTGAGGATGTCAATGCTTCGGCGATACCGACTAATATGAAAGAAGCTTTTGACTGGGCATTCAAGGCGATGTTTAAGGCGCGGGAGGAGGTGGATGAGGCCAGCCAGCATTGTGTGCAAGCTAAACTAAGTGCGGCGAAGGCAGCTGGGCTTGAGAAAGAAGCAGAGATGGCTTTAAAAAAGCTTGGCGCGGAGGCTATGACACTGAGCAAGGCATTACGAGATGCGAGGGGAGCAAACAGTGAAGCTAAGGCTGCCGTGACCGAATGCGAGGCTGCAGAGGAGGCCGCACAACAAGCAGAGATTGCGACGCTCGACGCCGCATACGAGGTGCTGAACCATGTTAAGACCGATAGGAGGAGCAAGAATTCCAAAACAGAGGGTCTTTTGGACGAGGCGGCAAAGCATACTGCAATTGCCGTAAAGAAGGCAAAGGAGGCGGAGGCGGAGTCTGAGAAGGCGGCAGCGGCGGCGCGGAAAACCCTGGAAGCAGCAGAGAAGGCAGCAGCGGCGCGGACCTTGGCACAAGACGTTGCCGCAACGGCCAGTGCGCTGCTGCGGCAGCGGGAGAGGGAGGAGGAGAGACGAAGAGCGAAGGACCGGGAGGCGGCGGAGGCCGCGAAAAAGGCTGCCATTGCTGAGGTGATGAAGAAATTTGCTGCGAAGAAGGGGAATGACGCGGCGTCTGGCAGGAATTCCACAGCCACCCGCATTCAAAGGACGAGACCGCGGGTGGATGGCGGCGGCATTCCATTGCTTTTGCGTGCACCGCTTCTGATGCTTGCTGCCGTGGCATCCGTTTTCGGCTTCTTATTGTGCTAGGCGGCATAACCGAGGCGATGACGTGCTGCCCAGCGCGGTGAGTCCATTTGTTTTAGGACCTTTTTTTTTTTACTTTTGTGGTTTTTTGTAAGAGAAAAAAAAAAAAAAAAACATTTAAAAATAAACTAAAAAAAGCCGCTGCGTTTTACAACTGCGAGGGTTTTTTTGTGGTGAGAAATTTTAAAAATAATTTGCTGTGCGTGGTGCGGGGCGATTGTGAGTAACTTTTCTTTTTTGTCCACGGCGAGAAACACTTGCCCACATGCTGTGGGGGATTCTTACACATGTGTACATACATGTATATACTTTTATATACCTAATACAAGTGAAACATCGAAATATGCCATAGTAGGAATTTTTTTAAA